ATATCACAGTCTATCAGTGACGTAATATCACAGTCGATCAGTCACGTAATATCACAGTCGATCAGTCATGTAATATCACAGTCGACCCGTACAATCAGACACGTAATATCACAGTCGATCAGTCACGTAATATCACAGTCGATCAGTCATGTAATATCACAGTCGACCCGTACAATCAGACACGTAATATCACAGTCGATCAGTCACGTAATATCACAGTCGATCAGTCATGTAATATCACAGTCGACCCGTACAATCAGTCAGGTAATATCACAGTCTATCAGTGACGTAATATCACAGTCGATCAGTCATGTAATATCACAGTCGACCCGTACAATCAGTCACGTAATATCACAGTCGATCAGTCACGTAATATCACAGTCGACCCGTACAATCAGTCACGTAATATCACAGTCGATCAGTCACGTAATATCAGTCGATCAGTCACGTAATATCACAGTCGACCCGTACAATCAGTCACGTAATATCAGTCGATCAGTCACGTAATATCACAGTCGATCAGTCATGTAATATCACAGTCGACCCGTACAATCAGTCACGTAATATCACAGTCGATCAGTCACGTAATATCACAGTCGATCAGTCACGTAATAGCACAGTCGATCAGTCACGTAATATCACAGTCGATCAGTCACGTAATATCACAGTCGATCAGTCACGTAATATCACAGTCGACCCGTACAATCAGTCACGTAATATCACAGTCGACCCGTACAATCAGTCATGTAATATCACAGTCGATCAGTCACGTAATATCACAGTCGATCAGTCACGTAATATCACAGTCGACCCGTACAATCAGTCACGTAATAGCACAGTCGACCCGTACAATCAGTCATGTAATATCACAGTCGATCAGTCACGTAATATCACAGTCGATCAGTCACGTAATATCACAGTCGATCAGTCACGTATAGGGATGGGACGATTACCGGTTTCACGATAAACCACGATAAAATGTCCTGGCGGTTAGTATTATCGTTTAAAATTTAATTATCATAAAAACCGTGTTTGATTATCGTGATTTTGAAAACTCGCGGTAAATCCTGTCCAGCCAGAATCAGTCTGACGCAGGCGCGACGCGAGCAGGCGCGCAGATGCAATGTTGTTTTTTTTGCGCGAGAAGACATGGCGGAAGGCAGTGACAGCGCACGGGAGATTTTTCAGCCATCCAAGAGGACAAAATCGGAGGTATGGTCGTATTTTGGCTATTACAAGAGTCCCGAGGGCAATTTAATCGAGGATGGGCACCCTGTCTGCAAATCTTGCTAGAGGAAAGTCGATCGCTGCAAAAGGGGGAAACACGTCAAATCTGCTAAGTCATCTAACGTTACGTGACAACCGCCCACTGAGTTAATTTTTACCTTAATAGCACAACTAACTTGGGCAAATAATTAGACAAAAAATTTATTGGGGATGAATTATTTCATTATCTCACTTGTAATTATTGCAAAGCTTCCGCCAGGGTCCCCGCGGGTCCTTAAAAAGTCTTAAAAGGTCTTAAATAACATTTTCGCTTTTTAAGGTCTGAAAATGTCTTAAAATCCGCAATTTCCAATAAGGAGGTCTTAAATTTCACGTACGGACCTTAAATTTCTTGTAGGAGACAACAACACATTGCAGACGGTGTTTACGACCGTTCATGCTTACGGTCGGGTTGCCAGATTTAAATAATTAAATCCCCAGTCAGAGCTTTTCTGTTAAAATAACACGCTTTCTACCCGGTCTTGTCAATAGTATCTGGCAACCATGCTCGCGCGCGCTCTCTACACTGCTGAAGAAGCGCGGATGATCTGAAAACACTGACAAGTAAGCTGGAGTTCAGTGATCTTCATTTGAGATTTTCTACTTACATTAATTAAAGTGTCATTCAGTTGGTCTTTATTCTGTCACGAGCCGCTTGCGCTGTTTGTGTGACTAAATCTGCGATCAATACAGGCTGATATCCAGCAGTGTTTTTAATGTTGATCATATTATTGCATATTATTGTTATTTTGCAACAAAAGCCACGGCTGCAGACAGTGGTGATTCGAGAACGAATCTGTGGCTTTGAACGAATCGTGAGATTCAATGACCCGTTCATAAATACAGCCACTTGCTTTGTTACCATAGACTGTTGTGTTTGATACTGAATGAATGAATGACTCGATGACGGATGACTCACTCATAAAGACAGTGACTTACCGCCACCTACTGGCGATTTTAATTTAATGTTAAAAAGTATCACCTCGTTTTTACCATCATTGCATATTTATTGAACATTGTTTTATTTAAAGCATTATTTCTTTTATAAAAGTATTTATAAAGGTAAAAAATTAACTGGAAAAAATCGATTAAAAGGGGCAGATATTGTCCCTTAATGGAAAAGGTGTGACTGCAGTCTAAGTGCAAGAGGGGTTACGGCACTCTAAAAAATTGGAGTACCACTGAACTAAGGAACAGGGATATGTAGAATATAATATATGGTGGCGGGTTGACTAGCTTTCGTGAGGCACACTCGCAAGGTCTCTTTTGCTCTCTCTCTCTCAGCCGTGCTCGCGCTATGTATGTTATGCGCGCAGTATGTTCTGTCTCGCATGCGCGCTCTAGATTCCGGCAGATCTGAACTAATTTGCGGGCATCAGGGAGACGCAGGAGACTCCCGGGAGACTTGGGATGTCTGCAATGGCCACAGACAATTTGAGGAAGTGGTGGGGGAAGTGACGTATGCCGTAAAGCAGTCGAATTTTGTAGTTCTTTTTGTGCACGGGTTCCTACCCGAAACCCGAAGTTACATAGTGCCAGTAAAAGCGATACAGACCACGTCAGGCTATGGCAGACGTGTCATTTAACTTATTTTAAGTCGATGTACCATCACAAGGGTCTTGGAAATATATTATGAAGGTTGAACAACTACATAGTGTTACTTTAAGACTAAAACAAAAACGGCTGCCAAAATTAACACTGTCGTGTCGTGCTGAACATTTTCCTGTTTTTTTTTTGTCGTGGTAAAGTCTTAAATTTGCCTTTTAGAGGACTTAAAAAGGTCTTAAAAGTAATTAAATTTGCTGTTAAAAAATGTGCAGATACCCTGTCCGCGAAGAGAAAAGTTTTACAGCAAGTGGATTTGAGCCAAGACGAACGAACATATTCAAACTATTAAGGGTGACATTTAAGGCATAATGTATTGTATTCATTCATAGTAAACTTATTACAGTTTTATTTTTTACCACAGAAATAATTTCAGGGACATGAAAATATTGAATTGTGATTAACTTAATGTTTTTAAATCTTGCCGGTTTATAAATCCATTATACAAGTTACAGCTTGTCCAAATCAATCGTAAAGTAAATGTGATCACTTCAACAATATTTTAGTAGTATTAATACTAAATTACTCTGATTTAATTTTCAATACAATCAAAACTGAGACGCAAGACATACACATTTGAATGAAACCAGAGATTGCGTCCACGGTGATCCGAGACATGGATGTGCGCTGTGTAGTGCGTTGCTATGCACAATAGTCATTATAAGTATTCCAGTAGTTTAGTCACCCTGACCCAACCAACATATTTTGTTCATTTAAAGTGTGTGTGCGTGCGTGCGTGTGAGTGTGTGTGTGTGTGAGAGAGAGAAAGCGATTTATTATTTATTAATAATAATAATATTCAGTCATACACACATCCATAAGTGTTATTATCATTATTAATGATAGGGTTTAATGACGGGTTCATTAAAACCTGCACTACCTCTCACTCTCAGGGCTCCATGTTAATGTTAATATAATGTTTATGCTTAAAAAAGTGCATATAGCTGCTAGCCTGCTAATTGTATTTTTTGTTTGTTGATTTTCAAATGTTTTCAGGGTGAGCATCAGTTCTTTTTGAACATTTCCATCTCATTTTAACAAAACCGTGATAATATTGATAATCGTGATAACTTTGGTCACTATAATCGTGATATGAAATTTTCATACCGTCCCATCCCTAGTCACGTAATATCACAGTCGATCAGTCACGTAATATCACAGTCGATCAGTCACGTAATATCACAGTCGACCCGTACAATCAGTCACGTAATATCACAGTCGATCAGTCACGTAATATCACAGTCGACCCGTACAATCAGTCATGTAATATCACAGTCGATCAGTCATGTAATATCACAGTCGACCCGTACAATCAGTCATGTAATAGCACAGTCATGTTATATCATCTTCAAAACTAAATCATGTAAAACTAAGCGAAATAACATCACAGTCAGTCACAGTAGTATCACTCACAAACATCAATCACCTCAGTATTATAAACAGAAAATAAACTATTAATAACATCAAATCTGTTGTTATGAATGTTTACTTGATCCAAACACAGTATGTTATTGTTTCTATGAGGGTCAATCACTCACATTTCAACCTTCATAAAGCAGATGTGTGTGGTCAATAACCACGTTTCCTGGTGGGAGACTACAGTACATTGATGGTACTATGGTACTTTGACGTATACCGTATTGACGTATACCGTATAAATCACAAATACACGAAATCACGAATAAATCATTCCCGTCTTGATCTGCCATAATATTTATTTACTCGGTTCTCCGAATTACTTAAAATAAGCATCAGAGTATTACCACGGTACTGTATAAGGTGATTATACTCACACAAACGCTACGCGACTATTGAACTCTGGTAATAATCGCAATGTTCATTGATATTTCATTAATCACTATTATGGATCTAGATTTGTTTCATTTATTATAACAGGGGCGTCATTGTTTTGACGCGTCCCTTCGCTCTCAGCATCGCGTCAGCTCTGATATACACAACACACACGAACATAAATAAACGCATATATCACACACACGTGAGTGTTTGATCACAATAATAATCCGTCATTATGCCGTTTTGGAATTTAATCCGGCGAGCGCTGCTAATGCTAAAGCTAATGTGAGGCCAGGGGGTGTTAATCGCGTTCGTGTGTCGATAAATCGAGTTACCTTTCTCTCGCCAGCGTCCATCTCGCACACCGACACCGGAACCGAGCCGCGAGCTGCTGTCAGGAGGCCGTTAACGGAGACATGATCCGGTGCTCCGGTTCTGATGTCCGTCACCGACTGACTGATTGACTGACTGACACTCATCTGGGACGGAAGCCGCGGAGGGTCATTAAGGACGTGCGTTTCTGTAATTCTGTCAAGATGCCGTTAGGGGGCGCGCGAGAGCAGGAAACTCAACTCACACGCATGCGCAGAAATAACAGCATTTTTTTTTTATTGAACAATATGTCATGTACAAACAACATGGCAACAAAAATATATAATTACACTATGACAGTAGGATCAGGTGCAAAATTGCATTACAGAAAAGAAGAAGAAAAGGGGAAAAAAGAGGGTTTACTTTTCACGTCATATTCTTCCTTTGAGGCAAAAAAGTTCTTTTTGAATTTTCACTTTTCATCATTTTAAGAGCATAAGAAAGACACTCATTGTAAAATACACAGAACTTAGGTTTCACTTTCAGATATTTAGATTTGTGTATATCAAATTTAGCAGCAACCGAGATGTTCAGTGAGTTTTATCATTTGTCATCAGTTATGACGATTCAAAATTGACATAAGTTGCTGTTGCAATGTGATTTATATAAACAAAGACAATAATCAGTCCTGTGATTCCATTTTCAACAACACCAAAGCAACACTTAAAGTTCCCATGAAATTTAAATTGAAGTTTTTTTGGTCTTAGTATGAATATGTTAGTCTTACTGTTATCTATAAGGTAGTGTGCTCCAAAACAATGACAAAATTCGCATTTTGAAGATATAAGTGCAAAACTTACAGTCACTTCCACAAATACGGATCAGTGATTTTGATGACATCACTGCACTTCAGCTTCTCATCGGATTTTATGTCCAATCAAAAGCTCTCTAGAATCGGAAGCTCCGCCCCCTACACTATAAATGGATGCTGAAGCGGCTGAAATCAACAAACACACACACACACACACAGACACAGACACAGAGAGAGAGAGAGAGAGAGAGAGAGAGAGAGAGAGAGAGAGAGAGAGAGAGAGAGAGAGAGAGAGAGAGAGAGAGACTTATGTGACACCCAGTATTGTAAAGCTCACATTTGTTTTGTGCATTTTAGTGCATTAATGATGTCATTGTGTTTCTGTGAATTCATGAAAAGAAAGCTCTATTTTTAACCCGTCCCATACGTCCCACAAAACAATACTGTTCTCAGGATTCTTCAAAACAACCCTAAAAATACTGGCACAGAGAATATAAACCAGCCATTGAATTCTACACATGTTTACAGTGATAAACGACAGGAATTGTGTAATTATCTGATGGGCACACCCACACAAGTGTGCACTTACACACTTCAAGCCTTTATAGGGTGCAAATTACAGTATACAACAAGACTATAGCCTACAGTAGCATTTGCAAATGTCTGTCAATTAAACAAGATGTACTAATTTAGAATACAATCTGTAATACAACATGCCATAATTATATTTTAATATTAAAAAAATGAATTATTGTATGTAGAAATTGACATGTAGGCTATAAACATTGTTCAGTCTGTTTAGTGAACCGTTTAACGTATTATTATTATATTTTTTGTTCTATGGAGTATTTGAGTTATTACACTTGATTTCATATGTAAAGCTCTTGATGTCTGTTTTACTAAAGTGTTTGTTGCTTTCATTATTTTGTAAAGCACTTTGATCATAGCATCTATAAATGGGCTATATAAATAAAGTTTACTATTATTAATATCCTCACTTCAGTTCGTGTCACTCTATCAATGGAAAACCAGACAACTCTCACATTCACCTAAAGGTGGCGCTGTTGCTTTTCATTCTATCATGACAAAAACATGAATCTCAAACTTGCTTGCCTTTCTCAACATAATGACCTGAAATCTGAAAGTGATCAAAGCGTGCTCACCTGTGTGTGATCATTAGAGTATTTGTTGTGTCGTTAACAGACACATAAAAAACACAATTAAATTAAACACTGGTGGTTGTGACTAAACAAACCAGGAATTCTTTCTCATTGCCAGATGGAACAGCCCAGAATTAGTGCGTCCCAAATCATGCAGGCTACATTGAAAAGAGTTTGATAAAGTCAAGGTGTCTGGTTGATTTGCGGTCTGGAAGATTATCAATAATAATGAAAATAAAGTAATATTACCCACAAGCCCTTGTGGAAAGGAACTGGAGTTGGTCGACACCATTCTCTCTTGAACTTTATGAATTCTGTTCTAACACAAATGCCCAACTCAATCAATATGCAAAAAAGAAAAAAAAAAGAAAAGAAAAAGTTGCTGCCTTTTTTAAGTACACTCAATGTGGATGTTTAAGTCATTTCAACTTAAATTTCATTAAACTGACTCGAATCTTGTAAAACGTATAAAAAAATTGCTAAACTTATTTTGAAGTTAAAGCAATGTAAAAACATGTGTTGTCATAACTTATTGATCATATAATTGTTACATATTAAGACATTATTTAGTATTATTGGCATATGTTTCCCATCACTGCTGCACAGCCTTCTAGTGTATAGTAGGCTAAAAGTGTGCATATTTAGTACACTAATATGGAAGCCCATGTCTGCCCCATAAGGAAAAAAAAAACATAATTATGACATTAAGAGTCGAAATTATGACATACTAAGCCGAAATTATGACATTAAAAGTCAGAATTATGTAATTAAACACGAAATTATGACTCAAAAAACTATAACAAGAATTCATAATTATGACACAGAAAGTATTATGTATTTTAGTATGTCATAATTACGACTTTTTATGTCATAATTGTGATTTGTAACGTGATTTTGTACACTTATGTAGGCTATCCTGCTGTCAAAAACGTCTAACTGAGACTTTATCACCCATTTAATGTCAGCTTGCCAATAAAATATTTTATGCCTCTGCTAATGAGCATAAATGTAAACATGTTTCTGACACTCGGCTTAATCTTTCACGCGATCTCCCGCCAAGAGTGTTTTTGGCGCGCATTCGCCGCTGCTATGCGCGCGTGTAATTTTATGGGTTAAAAAAGCGCGGCAGAGTTTCAGATCTCACGGAGGGGCGCGCGCGCACCCCCTCCGGTCCGCGTAACACATGTTGTGTTTTCACTTTTACAAGGTTTGCGCGTGATTCTGCTTTTATACACTCGTTTAAGTCCACGGGGTTGTTTTTTTTACACATCAAACCCAGACGCCCCGAGAGCACGCGCGTCGCTGGAGTCTCGCACGCAACCACAACATGCGATGAGGCCACACACAGACACACACACACACACACACACACACACACACACACACACACACACACAGTTCTGGGACAGACCTTCCATCTTATTCTCATGCATTATTATTGATGTCTTATGACTGATGATCTCTTGTTATTCCAACTTTTCAACTGAGAAGAGATTCTGCTTCCAAGACAAATCCATCAATACACACTTATGCACATCTCTCATAGACTGCTATTGTGTTTAAATTGAAACAAAAACGCATGGCTTGCTTCAGAAGGGCTTTATTAACCCCTGGAGTCGCGTGGATTACTGTTATGATCAACAGATGCACTTTTATGATGGATAGATGCACTTTTATCATGGATAGATGCACATTTATCATGGATAGATGCACTTTTATCATGGATAGATGCACATTTATCATGGATAGATGCACTTTTATGATGGATAGATGCACTTTTATGATGGATAGATGCACTTTTATCATGGACAGATGCACTTTTATCATGGATAGATGCACTTTTATGATGGATAGATGCACTTTTATCATGGATAGATGCACTTTTATGATGGATAGATGCACTTTTATCATGGATAGATGCACATTTATCATGGATAGATGCACTTTTATGATGGATAGATGCACTTTTATGATGGATAGATGCACTTTTATCATGGACAGATGCACTTTTATCATGGATAGATGCACTTTTATCATGGATAGATGCACTTTTATGATGGATAGATGCACTTTTATCATGGACAGATTCACTTTTATCATGGATAGATGCACTGTTATGATCGACAGATGCACTTTTATGATGGATAGATGCACTTTTATCATGGACAGATGCACTTTTATCATGGATAGATGCACTTTTATCATGGATAGATGCACTTTTATGATGGACAGATGCACTTTTATCATGGACAGATGCACTTTTATGATGGACTGTCACGGTATATGGATCCAGTGTCTCTCTCTAGTCTCGTGCTTTGTTGTTTACATGTGTGCGAGTGTGTGTGTCCGGATCATCAGTTGATCAGTATCCAGCTGCGATCACTCACCAGTACCAGCGGCCACTCATCTCATCTCCTATAAAGACTTACCACTTTCTCATTCCCATTGTCAGATCGTTGTATGAAGTCCTGGTGTTACCTGTGCCTGTTCCTGTGCTTCGTGTCCCGTCTCGAGTTCCTGTGTTCCGGTTTTCGTCGTGTTGGATTTCGTTTCGTGTCTGGATTACGTCATCACTCTTCAGAGCACCCTGCACTTCATCCTTCACTCTGTGTCTGACCATCGAAGTCCCTGCGTCACCCGCCTGCATAACCTGGACTAATCATCATCATCATCTTTATTTACACTATAAATAAGAGCTTTTTACTTGCATCTTGTGTCCTCGTCTCTAACGTAACATGGACAGATGCACTTTTATCATGGATAGATGCACTTTTATCATGGATAGATGCACTTTTATGATGATAGATGCACTTATTTTGGGCTTCAAAATGTCATCCTCCATTCAATCTCATTATAAAGCTTGGACGAGCCAGGATGTGTTTTAATATGCCTAACTCTGATTGTGTTTGACTGAAAGAAGAAAGTCATACACACCTAGGATGGCTAATTATGGGATAGTTAGATATTTGGGGGGTGAATTAACCCTTTACTACCTTTTCAGATGTTTCAGAGAACATTCAGAAGTATTGAATAAAAAAACAATAATTCCATTCTATTAATGTTTTTTCGGTAACACTTTACAATAAGGTTCACTAGTTAATGTATTAAAGGGATAGTTCACTTTGAAATTAATTTTTGGTATGTTTTAGCTTACCTCAAGGGCATCCAAGATGTAGGTGTCTTTGTTTCCGCAGGAGTTTCAATTTTGATATTTTTAGGTCAA